GTCCAGTTCCCATGTATTCCAGACATACGCCGGCGGTATACTAGACAGCCATGAGTGCAATACTACCGGCCCTTTTGATCACAGCCTACTTCTGGTGGGAGAGGGTGTCGACAATGGGACTGACTATGTCAATAGATGATAATATGGACATGGTGCTTGATTTGGAAAGGGATAAACCGTTCACCGGCCAGTGCACCCATACATGCAATAAAACAATAATAGATAAAACAGGGTATCGGTGGGATAGGGCCGGTTGGACTGATCCAAAGGACCAATTGAATCACGAGAAAGATATGAGTAATTGGCTCTCAGTTGCGCCATTCGTTGTGTACACAAAGTCCAGTTCCCATGTATTCCAGACATACGCCGGCGGTATACTAGACAGCCATGAGTGCAATACTACCGGCCCTTTTGATCACAGCCTACTTCTGGTGGGAGAGGGTGTCGACAATGGGACTGACTATTGGATCGCCAGAAATAGGTTTGTATTGAAATTAATTTAATGTAAAAAATGTTTAATTAATTTGAATCGACAGTTACGGTGAGGGTTGGGGTGAAAAGGGTTACATACGTCTGGGTAAAGGCAAAAATGTGTGCGGGATCGGTTTAGGATATATTACTGTTGGAATATTTCCTTAATGCATTTCACTATCTAATTAATATAACTAATTTAATACTATTTGATGTATTTCAAACAGATGATTATTTTTATTAATTAATTATTTGAAAATTTGTGTATTGAATTTATTAAATTGTTGATTTTAAAATTAACAAATGATAAAAATTTTGAATAAAATGTATGCTAAAAATTTTTAAACATAAATTCTTTAATCTACAATTAAATAAATTTTTATCTTTTATTAACACAAACTTAATCACATTATCTGAAAAATATTAAAAGCCTTACAATATTAATAATCTATGTATTTTATTTTATCAACCATTATGAACTATGTATAAAAATGTGTTTACTGTATAATGTATAAAAATATTTAAAGTATTTAAAAAACTTATTTTACCAAAAATTAAATTGACTTACCTATGTATATTTCATAACTAGTTAATCTGTTACATTTGGAAATTGTTATGGATCTAGATTTTATAAAGTATATGTTATTAATTAAATATAGACCTTTGAATTTTCACCTGCCAGTGCACCCATACATGCGATAAAACAATAATTGACAAAACAGGTTATGGGTGGTCAGGTGCTCAGTGGACTAAACCGGATGCCCTTACGATAATGAGAAAGAGTTGAGTGGTATGCTTGCAATGGGGCCACTGGTTGTGTGCGTGAAGTCCAGTTCCCATGTATTCCAGACATACGCCGGCGGTATACTCGACAGCCATGACTGCAATACTACCAGCGCTTTGGAACACAGCCTTCTTCTGGTGGGAGAGGGTGTCGCCAATGGGACCGACTATTGGTTGGCTAGAAATAGGTATGATTTCTAATGTAGCAAGCTTCGTTATACATTCAATTGTATTTAATTATTTAATTATTTACAGTTATGGCAAGAGTTGGGGTGAAAATGGTTACATACGACTGGCTAAAGGTAATAATGTGTGCGGGGTCGGTTTGGGATTTATACGTGTTAACTAGAACAGTATATAATTAGTATCAATAATTTATTTTAAAGTTATTTATTTAAAATAGTTGATTAATTATTTATTTAATTACTTTAGTAAAAGGTGTTCATTTGCAAAATTAGTTTATAATACTAATTTTAAAAATAACAATGTATAAATTTATTATTTTAATATTTTTAATATTTGCATTAATTGACCACTTATGTGCAAGTAAGTATAGCAAGTAAAAATAAATACCCTAGATGTACTAGTTTTCAATTTATTTGTCAATACTATTATATAAACAATAGACTATATAAAGAGTATTATATTACAAACCAAGGATTTCATCTTAAAAATTAAGGTATTAATAGTGAGAATATTTTGGTGAAAAGTACACCAAAATGTCAATAAAGAATGAAATTTTTATTCCTATATTACAAAATGTTCATAACCTTTATACCCTGGTCATAATTATATTGCAAAGACAGAACTGCGCGTTTTAAATGCACAGAAAATGTTATACTTTTTTCCAATGCTATCCAATGCAAGCACTCATTGATTCACTGGTTTATGACATTCACTGCAGTGCTTATCAATGATGCAGTGCTAGGAATGGATGAGTTTTCTGTGCATTAAAAACGCGAAATTCTGTCTTTGCAATATAATTATGACCAGGGTATAAAAGTTATGAACATTTTGTAATACAGAAATAAAAATTTCATTCTTTATTGACATATTGGTGTACTTATCATCAAAATATTCTCACTATTAATACCTTAATTTTTAAAATTAAATCCTTGGTTTGTAATAAAATACTCTATATTATAACTGGATATAAATGTCTATTTTAACAAGTACATTTTAAGTAGATAATTTTTTATATCACAGACATTTTAATAGATAATATACAACACAAACTAAATGATGGTAATACGATACCGGCGCTGGGCTACGGGACCTGGCAATTAGTACCGGACAGGAAGACCACGAATGGGATCGGTAGTCAAGCGAATGCTATAAAGGCCATCAAAGAGGCCGTTATGGTTGGGTACCGACACATCGACAGCGCCTACATGTATGACACGGAGAAAGTTATCGGCGCTGCACCGAAATAGCTGTTCAGCGCCTGTATGGTTCACCGGGAAGACCTATTTATCGTCACAAAAGTGTGGAATAATTTTCATAGCAGGGAACGGGTGGTCGAAAGTATATCGCTACAGGTAGGCTGACCAACTGTCCAGGATTTGGGTACAAAAAACACAATATAAAAATATAAGTAGTTAACTTGTAAATATATATATAATAGGATTAATATTTTGATATTTTAATAAGACCTGGGCATCAAACATGTAGACCTGGCACTCGTGCACTAGCCTACTGGCGTAAGGGATGGCGATGGTTTACACCCGACCTACCCAAATGGATCGGTTATACCCAGGACCTGGGACAGGGATGTGACATATTTGGAGGCATATAAGGGACTGAAAGATACACACAATGCCGGTTTGGTTAAGTCGATAGGAGTTTCCAATTTTAATGAACACCAATTGACTGAACTTATAAAACATTCACAAATTAAGCCTGCTGTTAATCAGGTATTTTTATATAAAAATAATTTTTTGAAAACTATAATATACTTAAAATTTAGTAATATATTTCTATAAATGTAAGTAAAATAAATTAATTATAATATATATTTTAATTAATAGATCGAGGTGCATCCACATTTTAATCAACAGAAACTAATTGACTTTTGTCGCGGTAATAACATTACAGTCACGGCTTATATGCCTTTAGCACACGGTAGAGCACTAGTAGGTGAGCCGGTACTTAATGCAATTGCTGACAAGTATCGGAAAAGTGTGGCACAGGTAGTCCTAAGGTGGCATTTACAGAGGGGACTCGTAGCTATACCTAAAAGTGGACAAAGTCAACATATTGATAAAAATTTTGATGTATTCAATTTTGAGTTAAATGACCAGGATATGTCGAATACTAATGCCATTGCTCAGAAACCCAGGATCAATCAAATTCCACCTTATCGTAATCACCCTGATTATCCATGTTCAGAATTAATGGAAAGCAAAATATAGTTGGATTTGATAATTATTTAATATTTAATTTAATAATTAAAATTAATTTTAATTTATATTTAATTTTTTACCATGTTGAAAAAGTGATGATCACTTGTTTTTTGGTTAAATTATTTATTGAATAATATAATTTGGATAATTAATTTTGAGAAAGTTAACTAATTACTTTTGTAAAATAACCCGGTTTGTCATTATTATAATTAGCGACATTATAAGTTTAATTACATGTACGGAAAATAAATGTCAATATTATACAAAGTTATTTGTTTAAAACATGATTTTATTTATTTTATTGATTTGTCATTTTTACATAAAATAATTAATAACAAACAAATTTATTTATTATAATTTAAACATGGCTATTTAATGGCATACGTTTAGCTAAAGTCTTTCATGCCATTATTTAAAATCTTGTAAAATGGTGAGACCTTAACGATATAACATAACAGAAATGCCAATAAAATAAAATTTATACACGCATGTTAATAAAATTATTAGTATTGTAAGCGTGAAGCTATCACTTAAAAATGTACAAGAAACAATTAACATCATTACAGATTTCTATTGTTGTCTATGATAGGTGTTTACAACATCAATGATCTTTAATTGTTAACATTTAATAATATTGCATATTTTAATTAAAAATCAATGTTTAATACTGATATATAGTTATGTTATCGTGTATTATAATTTTCCATTCATTTAATTTTGTTAAAACTTTTCGTATTATTAAACGTTTTTTGTAAATTACATTTATAATGCACATAAAATATATTATAAATACAATTGTATTTAATAACAATGCACATACAATTAAATATGTATTATTATATTGTGTATATACAACTAAATGTGTTAAGTTAATAATACAGATATTAAATATTATAAAATAAATTAATTTGTCAACATGTTTATTCAAAATATAATTATCAATTGAAATATTTTTAATTGCGCTTGATATATCATTTAAATAATCATTAACTGGATCATTAAATTTCACAAGTCTTCCATACATTACGTCCAGTGTTTTGGTGTATTTTAGTGTTATTTCAAGGTATAATATTTGTCCAAAATTCATCCATCCAATTACATAGAATATGGTAAGTGGTGCATGGTGCTGATATTTTAATAGACCGATATCCAGTACGTCAAATACGCCATAGTAGTAAACTAATATTAATGCAATCACAAAATGTACAAGGTGACATATTAGGTAAATAATTATTAATTTATTATTTTTATTAATCTTATATTTATCGTAATATGCATTCAATTCATCGTTGATTTCAAGAATTTTTTGCGAATTGGTTTTTACAAATACATATGAAATGAGCGAGGACAAAATTATTAATAAATGTAAAAATTTAAACCAAAACTCAAAACTATTTGATAAGTTGTTGATTGATAATATTGTTTGTATTAATACTCCAATTTGTGTGGTTATTATATACGCGGTGATTGTATTAATAATTATATTATTAATTGATAGTAATCCATAGAAATATAATATTTTGTATATTGTTGAACTTTTATTGGACATTCTTATAGTAATAATATTTTTAAAATAATATTAATATTATAATCAATAAATTTAAGTCACACTAAATCAATGTTGCACACTAGTAGAAAAATATACGCTACTGTACATTTATAATAATTTTACTTTCTACTATATACAGTATGTTAGCTCCTTAAATCAATATTCATTTTTAAAGTAGACTATTTATTATTAATTAAATTCAATTTAAAGTGCACTATATTATTCAATAAAATATTTACAGTTCTTAGATTTTCATTTTTTATTTTAGATTAAAGTCTGTTTGAAAAAAAATATTTTTTCAAATATAAGTAGAATTTTTTATTCTATACAACATTTATTAAAAATATTAAATTCTTTTTTACTATATCTTGTTTTGTAAATAATATATTTATTGATACTCGGATAGAGTACAAATCTAATGAAAAAACTTTATTATTGTCCTTGGTATTACTTAATAATATCTTTAGAAAATTCAAAATTTTTCATTTCAATTCCGTAGCAATACAAAACTTAATGTGTACTACACAAATAAGGTACATGGTTATGTAATAAAATATATTAGAGTTTGTGATAAAACAGTATAATACTAGACAGTCTAGTCTAGACATGGTGCAAGTAGTTAAATCTACATAATAATTAGTCAATTAGATTAATGAGTTAGCTTAGACAATTAGATTAATTAACCTTATTGAAATTAGTTTCGTAGTTATAAAACATATACTAATAACTCTTTAAGTTATAATACATTAAATTATTGAATAATTTACTAATTTACATTAGTATTTTGATGATAAACCTTCATAACCTTGTAAATAATAATTATAAAACTTTTGTAAAACTTTTAACTGTATGTTTTTAATTTCTTTTAAATGTTTGCTTCAATAACAAAGTTTTTGAATCAATAAATTATTATTAAATTTTATTAAAATCCTGGTTATCATTACTATGATTATCAACATTATAAGTTACACTACATGTATTGAAAATAAATGTAAATACAAACTCATATATTTAAATTGATTTTATTATATCATATTTTATTGATTTATATCATTTAATTAATACAATAATTAGCAACAAAATATATAAATTTAATACATTAATTTTAACATGGTCATTTAGTGAAAAACATTTAGCTGAAGTTGATTCATGCCATTTTTTAGTTTTTTAATATTTGAGTATGGTGAGATTTCTTATGATATAACATAACATTAATGCCAATAAAATACAATTTATACACACATGCTATTAAAATTATATTAATAGTAGACTTATAGCTACTATTAAAAAATGTAATAGACACAAAATATACCTCGATAATTGTCGTTGTAATTAACATGATATAAATATGAAAAATATTATACAATACTAATTCATTAAATATCTGATCATTTACTAAAAACCTTTTAATTATACTGGATACCTCAAACATGTACTTTTCTTCAATAAGCTCCAAGAACATTTTAATTTTGCATTCATAACATACAATATATTCAAGTATTTGTAATATAATTCAAAATAAATAAACTGGATAAATATATTCCAACCTATTATATAAAATAATGATATTGCAGCATGGTGTCGAAATAGTATATAGAAAAATGAAAACTCAAAAAAGTGATGAAAAAACTCATCAGTGAACACTCAAAACAACATTAATAAATACATAGATAAATAAATGACCAAGTATATAATTGCTGATTTATTACTGACAAGAAACTCATATTTAGAGTAATAATCATTTAATTCTGTATTTAATTCATATATACGTTGAGAATTACGGCGAATATTCACATACGATATCAATATACCGTTATCTCGGACTTTCAGTTGCCGGCAACTGTATCTAAGTTTCTGACAAGGGAGGCAATAGTACCTAGGTATAGTTGCACGCTATTTTAGCTCATGTTTCACTTTTTTGGCAAATGAGTTATTATTGCCCTATTGAGTGAAATAACTAATCTTTTCATACAAACTGTAAAAAGTTTTTGATTTGAGTGTTGACTGAAAAACGTTAAAACAATATCCATATCCTGTCAGTCAATGTGATGTGAATTGAGACCAAAATCAGTAAAATGTCTCAAAATATTAAATTGTTGACAACTATTACGAAGAGTGATGACATGAGTGAAGACATGAGTGAAAGGATTATTGATTTGATGTCTGATTGCGACGAAGAGATCACTACCAATGATGTGCATATGGAGACATCAGAGTTGGGCTGTAATAGTGGTGATTGTCAACCGATTGTCACAAAGAGCGGATCCAGAAGACAGAAACGACAACAACTAACTCTCCAACGAAAGCTTGAAGTCATTAAATGGTATAACGAAAACGGGAGAAACAAAAGGGAGACTTCCCGACACTTCGCTAATCAACGTCCGGCTATTATCATCACTCGTCAGAACGTCCAGCAATGGGTGGCCAAAGAGGAAGAGTTCTTAAGAGTGTTGAATCATAACTCTATTAGTATTAAGAAAAGGCGACGTGTTTTGAAAGAAAGAGTCCCAAAGTTTCCAGAAATGGAGAAACAACTCATCCAATGGTTTCACAGCCAAAGAGTGGCGAGACTAGTGGTCACATCAGAGCTTATTATATCCAAAGCATTGGATATCTTCGGAACAACCGCTGATGATGGCCAGAGATTCAGTGCTTCATGGGGTTGGCTTAAGGGCTTCTTAGAGCGCAATCGATTGACGTCTCGTACTGTGACTTCTGTTGGACAGAAGATCCCAGAGAATGCAAAAGATATTAGTCTTCGGTTCTTCGAACGCATCGATCTCTTTAGACAACAACAAATTGGTTCAAATGGTAATATCCTTAATATGGATGAGATGCCGGTCTTCTTTGATTCACCACAAAACAGGACTTATGACACAATTGGGAACAATACGGTGTCAGCAAAGACCACTGGCAGCGAGAAGTTAAGATTTACTCTTATTTTGTGCGCTTACAATGATGGCCGCAAATGTATGCCAGCAATCATTTTCAAAGGGCTTAAAAAGTTTCCCAAAAAACAGAAGTTTCCGAATGGAATCAAGATTATGGTCAGCGCCAAGGGCTCAGTCAATGGAGACCTAATGAATGAATGGAGAAAATCTGTGTATAAGTGTCGACCCGGAGGTTATTTCTTCAATTTTCACAACAAGAGAGCAAATGGACCCAAATATCGCACATTACTGTCAATGGACTCAGCGACCCCTCACAAGCACATTGACTTCAAGATATCAATAGCCAAACACAACGACACCAAAGTGGAGATAATTCCTGGAGGAATGACACCACTTCTTCAGCCCGCAGACGTGTCTTGGAATAAGTCAGTGAAGTCATCAATTAAGAAGCAGTGGTCGGAATGGATCGGCGCTCCTAAATATCCAAATGAACTGAATAAGAAGGGAGCGATCAAACGGCCGTCTTATGCAAAAGTCGCTGAATGGTGTCTTAAGGCATGGAATCAGTT